ATTATAATAGTATAGAAGTATAGATATAAAATACATTAAATGACATTGTAGTCGCCTCAGTGGCTACCAAGGCTATTCCAGTATTATTGTATCGAATAACGGACATTCACGAGACATACAATATGTGCATTTTTTGCTATAAACACAAGTTTTTTGTTAACATCTAAATATATTTCAAGATGAAGTATTTAATTTAATTTTCTTATAAATATTTATTTTCCGAGAGTAACGTTTTTTAACTAAGTAACTGTCCTATGCAATTTAACAATATATCTGTACATCTACTCTAATAGCCTTTGCCCGAGACTTCGTCTGCTTGGAAATAAAAAAAAAAACAAAAGTGAGTAGCCTATGTGTCCTTCCAGACAATCCTCTACATCTATACCAAATTTCATCGAAATCCGTTCAGCCGTTTAGATTACAAACTCTAACAAACATTCATCCATCTAATCTTTCGTATTTATAATATTAGTATGATATGATTATAAAGAGAAGAGATTTGTTTTTTGTATATATTGAACTAACTCGTAAACTACAAAGCCGATTTCAAAAATTCCTGAACCATAAGAAAGGTAATTTATCTGTGACATATATGATGGGGCATATCATTTATTGTCTTTTAATTTAACGGGGTCTAAGTCGTGAGCTGTAGCATGAGAAATCTAAAGAACTATTTCAAGGACGTTGAGTTTGTAAATATGTTTTTTAAACATTTTATTAATAACCATTTCCCCTGCCTTATCCTCGGCGGCGCACCGGGTTTTCGTCCTCCAAATAACTCTATCATCCGTCATCTCAGTCATCACACCCACTCCCTTCTTGATCATGTCTCCTTTCACGCAATCCATCCATCTCTTTCTAGGTTATTTTATTAATAACCAATTAATGTTATTTTCAAATTATCCTGCACCCTAAAATAAGATTTTTCGAGAACGTTCTCCGGAAAAATACACCTAATTAAATAACCAGACATCCGCAACAAAAATCGAACCTCGTATACGCCACGGGATATGTACTAAAGTAAGGGGTTAACCCTCCCCTTGTTTACAATACAGCTATGCGGTTTTATTAGGGTAGCATGACACAAAACTGTATAAGAGGGTTGTTAAACAAGGTAAACTGTATTATTAATATCTTCATTTTAAGTAATGTATACGTTTATATTGAAATAGGAATGATCCCCTAATTTGAACTATACTAATATTATAAAGAGTAAAGATTTGTATTTTTGTATGTATTAAAATAACTCAAAAACTACTGGACCGTTTTAAAAAAATCCTTAATCATTAGAAAGCTATTTTATCACCGAGTAACATACGATGTTTTTACTATTTTTCAATTTACGCGGGAGAAGTCGCGATCAACAGCTAGTTAGGTATAGCTTTAGTTTTTCATTGTATTATTGTCGACACCGTATGTGTTATAAACATCTTTTATATCGTATTTTAATTTGAAATCACTTTCTTACGCACATCTTTAACAAAATCTATCCATATTTTCGGGCTCCCTCTAGTTGTAGCCAATGTAATATGCCATTTGAAATTTATCTCCGCACCCCAACGTTCTAAAAGCACTTAGAGACCGGTGTGACGCGACAAAATCGATAATGCGCTGGCATTGCGGGCGAGTTAGTATTGTTAAGCTTGCTACACACCTTGAGTTACAGTCGAACTGAAAGCTAAAGTCTAGGTAAAGCCTGCTACAGACGCTGTTTGAGTGTGGTGTTATCACAACTGTAATTAAACAGTTCAACATGGCGTATTAAAAGGAGCATATAAAGCTGACTAATGCCGAGAATTATACAATTTAACTGCAAATTCAAACTGTGCTTACACACGTCAGTTTAAACTGCACAGATGAAACGGAAGATGTATCGCGAACCTTTCCTTAAAGATATAAAATCATAGGATGCCTAGATCACTTTAACTTGAATCTTTCTAGATTTTGATTAAGTGTCTTAGCTAATATCAGAAATTAACAATCGGTTTTAACCCGTTATTTCGAAGATGCAAATTTCCTTTTGACGAAAGTATGTATTTCAAACATCAATTTCTTTATGCTATATTTCGGCATCAATATAAAATACTAGCTTTTGATGCGACTTCATTTGCGCTGCTCAGTGATAATATTCTTTTGATAACAAAAGAATTTTTCAAATCGACTCAGTGGTTATAGTTTATTGGTTACATACAAAACTACAATTTCTTAATATTATTACTCTATATGCAGTTTCCAAGTTTTACACTATCTCGTTAGCTGATAATTATCAACTCATTGATTAAACACATATGCAAATAAAAATGAACGCAACAAAAATAAAACAAAAGACGGACTGCGAGCGGAAAGAAGGTGATCGACCTCCGGGACGTAGACACGTCATTACCTTGCGACGGTGAGTCAGGTAATGAGGAATAGCTTGAATAACAACTCATCAAATTATACGAAGAAAAAGCTACAAATCATTCAAAGGTTAAATTATGCTAAAGGTTACATTTAAGTTGAGATTTTAAACTAAACACGTAATAAAATGGGAGTGTCTGTTATATCAAAAATTATTGATTATATTATATTTATAAAACAATTGCCTGTCTGTCCGTTTGCAAGCAGAGTTTGTTCCGGGTAATCTCCAAAACGGCTGGGCCTTTCGACCGGACTTTGACTGAAGGGTAGCTGATATAGACCCGCATATTACAGGCTTTTTTTTTAATTTTGCGCTGTCAAAATTGCGTAATGGGTGGTCCAAATTTGCGGGCTCGTAGTGAATATAACCTTAGACCTTCGGTTGTTGTAACCGATAAAACAATAAAAAAACAGCCAGTATGTGATATAAATTAATAAAAAACACATCGGCCAGTGGGCCGTGTATGACTCACACAGCTGTGAACTTGACCTTTCAATCGTATAGCAATAAAGTTCAAAATATTCTCGTTATTTACCACCTTTTGTAAATCGGTTATGATTCATGAGAATAAATTATTTATTTCCTACAACAATCAGTATGACGCGGTTAAACTTCGACATTAAATTGTTTCCTATTTTATGGCAATATTATACTGAACAAAATGGGATGTGAAATGTTTTTTCTGGTTAGAAAATTACCTTTTACCATTATTAAAATACATAGATTTGCTAAGATTCATACTCATTATCAGAGTTTTCATACATTACAGTGTACAATTTGGTTAATAGTCTAAAATACAAGAAATAGTATGCATTACAGCACAGCTAGTTCATGCCAGTGGCATGTCAATGGGCCCATTTTACTAGCATCTTATTCCTGCCCTTAGCCAGAGACAAAATCTAAAATCTATAACAGATATCCAAAAATATCTTATCAAGAATTATTTTGTTTTCATATTTCTGTGGCTGTAGAATTTTAAAATTTGATCAATCATAAGTGAATGTTGTATGTAGGATCTAAAAATATGTGCAGCGTAATTCCAGTTTTATTAGATTTATGTGTTGGCACACAGCGCAATGTTGAGGCAAAGACTATTTCTCTACAAATATATCTAGTATTAAAATAAATAACATTGAAAAATTCAAACAAAAATATGTTTTGATATTTTTTTCTTTGTAACAAGGACATTAGTTATGAATGTGGAGGGGAACACCGGTAGAGGTAGACCTAGAAAGAGATGGATTGATTGCTTGAAGTTAACATGATTAAGAAGGGAGTGATGACTGAGATGATGGATGATAGAGTTATTTGGAGGACGAAAATCCGGTGCCAACCCTACGGGACTAGAATAAGGCAGGGGAGATGATGATTTTTTAATTGGATAACAATGTTAAAGGAGCATAGACAAGAAAAAAATGTATGAAGGATTTGCTAGGTCTGTGCCAAATGGATGTAATATTATTCCTCTAGGTTACAGTCTAGATTTGTGTTTGAAAAAAATCTAATTGGATCTTTGTATAAACTTCTACAGTTCAATACTGAACATTAATATTTCTTTAAATTATAATAATAATAAAATAAATGAGTTTGATCAAAGTACCCTCCAATATAGTAAAGTAAAACAACAAAATACTATGAGTGCTATTTTCTTGAGCATTTGTTATAGGTTGTTAATAGTCATAAAAATATTGATTTGACGTCAACTGTAACCCAACTTGTACTATAAAGTACATATATCCAATAAGAAAATTTTAACATATTGATCCTTTATAAAATTAATATATTAAATTTTACGATAGGTTAGTTTGTAATATGTATAAGGAAGTAAGGACTGATTCATCAAAAGGCGTAAAAACATGAATCACCATACATATGTAATATTTCGAAATGATCAATACAGAACAAATATGGCAATAATCGAACTGCAAAGCGACTTCAAATAAGATAAGAAATCGATAATTCGTCTATCCGCGTACTGCATATAACCTTGACATTGGAGCTATACTGTCTAGAAAGTTTTTATTACGGGGCGTGCCCACCACCGTACAACGCCTAAAGCACCCTAAAATAGACATGAAATGGATGTGATAGGCAACTACCGCAGCTATACCATATATGGGCAAACGACATACGACTGCGCGGCGGTGCAGTGCTACCAAAGTTCGATGCCCCCCAACAAAACGGCCGACAGATAAATCATAAACGTATAGTATTTGGATCAGAAAATGACGCTCATAGGAACCGGCGCGCCTTTTCGTCATAAAAGGTGTCGCGGGATAGTAACCTTTTTAACAAGCGTGAAATTTAACACCGAAACACCTACTTATCTATCTAGATAGAAACACTTCGTCTACATTCGTTGATTTATAGCTTATTCAGCAAAATCACTCTACACGTGGCATAAAATCATTGAACAGTGACAACTATTTTTATGAAAAGGCGTGCGAACTCTGCAAAGGGTTGTGCGAAATATGGCGGCACCGGTCTAATGAGAATGTCTTACAATGTAAATTCAGTACGACAGTTTTACAACACATCAAGATTAAGTAGAGCACAGCACGGTTAAACTACACAGAAATTACATTTTTAGTTCACTTACCATTTTTTGATGTTATAACACGTAAAATTCCACTACTAACTTCACCGAGTCCACAACGGCGACCGGAACGACACTGAATATTTAAGAGTTGGCTATACGTTATTGTGCGGCGACCAATGAGCGCATGTGTCAAAATTGTTACTATGAATCAACACACTGATTTAATTACGATTTTTATTTATTATCGGTTAAATAAATTCCAAATATTAAAATTCTTTCACACTAAAGATAAAACTTTCGATGTACAATTATTTATTTACAAAATTTCAACGTTCAATATTTATTATTTTAAAATGCGACACAAGGCGACAACCTAAGCGACTGTAGTCTGTTGCTCTATGCTCTGTCAATGTACGATTTATTGTTAACCTTTTTATATAAAGTCGCTTTCGCTTTGATAAGATTAGATAAACAAAAAATATCCACCGTTTCAACAAAGTGTACAGTAGATTTGGAGACTTCCACACGTATGATTAGCATTTGAAAAGTGACTCACTGATGACGATCATGTTTTGTCCAATCCACATTCAGTATTCAATAAATGCCCTTATATGGGCAGATGCAGAGAGCCCCAACGTCGTATGTTGATTTAAATTTTGGCGCCTCCTGATAAAAATGTTTTGTTTGCAAAATTACGACTTGCATTTGCTTTTATTTTATTTGTCTACATATACATATATTAGCAAATACTTTATGTTTAACTTATTTGCTTGAGTATCTCGTTTGTAAGAAATATTAACTGGCATGTTTATGAAGTAATTTATACTGACTTACCCTGTCCAAACATTATTTTACTAGGATATAGGATAGGAACTTTTAGCATACCTCAATAAAAAGGTTTGTGGATAAGAAGGTATAGGCGCTAATCAAAAAAAAAATAATAAAAAGTTTTGGTGAAATTTACATTTTTTTTATTTGATGTCATATTTAAATTATTGCGATAACTTAACAGTTGCTACCAACAGCCAGGCATCGGCCATCTTTGATAATGGATATAAAAACTTGTTTATAAAAAAGTTTAAGCGTTTCCGACATATTTATGATATCTTTTATACATTGAATACATGTTAGACATTGTCATTTGCCCGACAGAGCCTGCTAAAGATCTTCTTAAGAAGGCCATAGCGTACGTAGAATCTGACGCCTGTATTAACAGTGCTATAGAATTTTCTAGATGTTGTCGCACAAGTTTCGGAGGTCCTGTCTTCTCTATCCAAATACAAATGTCTGCGACCGCGTACGCCGCTATTCGTGACACGTGAGCTTTTCTTTTGCAGATAGATTGTGTTAATCTGAAAATTAAATTAGAACTGTAATACTTATAATCGTTGAGCAAGGAGGTCCCCTTAGTATTGATTTAATATCTATATTAGATCTTATTCAAGGAATACATTGATTTTTAATCCAGAATACAAATTAAGGCGTTAAAATCCCCCTAAAGTCCTTTTTTGGAGTAAATTTACTCACTGTTATTTATAGTCAAAAATGACAATTCTAAAAATCCCCCGAATTAGACTTGTGTGTATAAAACACTATTTATAGGTTATACATATATGTTCTAATGTTTATATTATGCTTTTATAAAACAAGGTGTAAGATAAACGGTCATTTGGTTTTAATACCTAAGTGACCGCTGATCTGTATAAATGGATAGGTTGTTAGGAACTGATTGCTTTTATTTGTTCTGACTTAAAAGTGCCTCGTAAAGTTAATTCTTCGAAACCTCACGACCGCAATTATCGCGAGCGTCAGCGTAAATGACGAAAATCAAATAAGCACAAAATACTACAATTTAGCCTGTCCATTTATAGAGATCAGTAACCAACCCATAGTCATCTATTATCCATAGATTATAAACGTCACTTCATTAAATCTTCCAGCCTTGATTTTTCTTATGGTAAATTTAATGTATATTAACATACTTCTCAATAGAATGAGCGGTTTCAGCTAATTTCTGTTCAATATTCCGATCCGTTTGTTGTAAATCCGTCACTCGCTCGCACACACATTGTATTAATGCTTTGTAGCACTGCATATAGCATGGCCATCTGAAAATACATAGAAATAATAAAAAAAAACTACAATTTTGAGAGCGTGAGCACCTTTGACTTAACTGTCGCACAACTGTGGTGCGATAGTTTAGTCAAAGGTGCGCGCTCTTAATGTTAATAAAATCTTTACTATTATAATAAAGCGTAAACACACACTTCTTTGTTGCCTAAGATGTCAGCAATTACAGCATATTTTTAAATAATTCTTTATTTTTGGAAAAAAGCCCTGCACTAACGACACGCTTTAGGCTATATATTTTCACGCCATTAAACTTAGTGGGTAAATGTTTTGGATAAAAACCCTAATGTGCCATAAGTTGCTGCCAACATCAAGAAAGTAAGATTGCCATGGTTTGTCATGTCATGTCAGTTTGACATTTGCTATTGATAATTTGACAAATGTAAACGATAAAATAAAATTTTCTTAATTTCATGCGGATGAAGCCGCACGGGAACAGCTAGTTTAATATAAAACTACAATTCGAATGTGTGGAACTATCGTCTACTATGTAAAAATAAGTAGGGTCGACAAAACAGATACTTTTACAGTAATATTAATTTATTTAAAAATGATCTTAATTTCTCACAATTTGTAATTTTGTAGACTTTGACAGATAGAAATTGATATAAATAAATATTTTATTTAGTAAGTATTTTTTGTATTTGATTATAAGTTTGTATTTAACAAATTTCGTTTCATTTCTAACAGCGATCTTTTGCTTTAAAACACAAATAAAAAAACAAACCTGTCTTCCAAAAGTTCTTCTCTTGATAGTAACAAATTATTCAACACAGTAACAGACCCTTCATGTAATGTGAAGAAAGCTTGCCAAGTGATTTGACACTTTGTGTTCAAAGTGTTACGGCCGAGAATGTACTGAACTAAATGTTGCAACTCGAACACAGCATCAACAAACCTATAATCTAGAGTAGTCTGGAAAACATAAATGTTGGCATTACTGTTTATCTGTACTATCTATATCTATACTAATATAACTAGCTGTTGCTCGCGACTTTGGCCGCATGAAATTAAAAATAGTAAAAAAGAGTAGCTCAGTGATAATGCTATGTTACTCAGTGATTATGTAACTTTTTAACGGTGAAAGAATTTTTGAAATCGACAAAGTAGTTTTTGAGTGATTTCAATACATACAAAAATACAAATCTGGGGCGGATCGCTAGTCTATCTATCTATATCTATACTATTAAAATAAAGCGTAAACACACACTTCTTTGTTGCCTGAGATGTCAGCAATTACAACATATTTTTGAACAATTCTTTTAATAAAAAGCCCTACACTTACGTCACGCTTTAAGCTATATATTTTAATGCCATTAAACTTAGGGGGTAAATATTTTGAATAAAAGCCCGAATGTGGGAAAGAGACCATAAGTTGCTGCCAACATCATTTAAGCAAGGTTTACATCATATCATGTCATTTTGACATTCGCAATTTATAATTTGACAAATGTAGACAATAAAATAAAGTTTTTATAATTTCATGCGGATGAAGCCGCACGGGAACAGCTAGTATTAGATAAAGTGTAAACACACACTTTTTGTTATGTAGGATGTCAGCAATCATAGCATATTTTTAATAACTCTCATTCAATAGAAAGCCCTAACTAACTAACGACTATAGCCCTTATGTTTTCACGCTATTTAATTTAGAAAGAGAATGAATTGGGTATAAATTGTCATACGGAAAAGAAAGAAAGAAACAAGATTGCCATAGTAATGGTAATAGTTACCCAATGGAAAAGCCTTTGTTGTTATTTATTTAAAAAGCAAAACATTTAAATCATTCAAATTCTCTAATTAAGTTAATTTATTTCTATATCTGTTACTTTATTGGAAGAGTGTTTTTAGTTTTTTTACAGTTGCACATAAAGGTTTACAATGTAAAAGACAGACATACCTTTTTTGCCGCCAAAATGACTTCTGACAGCATATCCAAATCGATTCTCAACAAATTGCAAATGGCGTCGTCAACTTTGACAGCTGTCAAGTTAACCTCACTTTCATCGTTCATTTCATTGTTTACTATCCGATCTTTTTTATTAATCTCTATTTCGCTTTCGAAATGTATTTGTATCCAATGTTTTAAGTTTTTACATATTTGGTATGTTTGTTTTGTTATACCAACGCATTTGTTACCAATTATATTTGCTTTAAGACAATGTTGGAGCAAATATTTGGATGTTTGATGTGATGTTAACTGTAAATTCGTCATAGCTTCGTCTTTTAAAATTATTGCCGGTTTCTGAAATTACAGAAAAAAATAGTTAATAAAGACAACTTTTACAGGATAAAGAGTATACAATTCTTAAGGATTAAACATTAAAGATTTTTTTCGTTGTTTTAAATGTTTTAGTAACCACAAAAGTACTACTAAAATAGTATCATACAACCATACGGAATATGGTAACCCTATTTAAAAGTTACATGTAACTGTCAAATCTTGAATTAATGTTGCCATTAGCAAATTTTGAATATCTACTTTTTTATTGCTAAAATTTAATGAATAAAAATTACCTTTAAAGTGACCAAATTAGTAACATCTCCTAAGAATTGCGTTACAAAACAATCTACTGAAGATAATTCTGCTAAAAACTTCAACGTCACTGCGATATTTTCCAATAAAACTGTATTTAATCGTTTCTTAGATGAATTATCGAATATTATTAATAGTCTATTTTTAATACTCTGCCATATTTGTTTGAAAAGTTCGTCTTTTTTCTGGAATATGTTGTGTGATTCTAGTTTTTTAATATATCGTAGTATAACATTTAATAATTGTATGGAAGGTTCTATATGTTGATATTTAGATTTCGGATTTTCGACAGCTTTAATCTGTAAAGAAATAAATATTATTTTGTCTTACAAATAAAACCGTAAATTATAAAGTAACTAGCTTTCGTCCGCGACTCCGTTCGCTTGGAATTTAAGAAAAAAACAAAAATGATAAGCCTATGTGTTCTTACAGACTATCCTCTACATCCATACCAAGTTTTGTGGAAAACCGTTCAGTAGTTAGGCTACAAACTCTAACAAACGTCCATACATCCATCTAAACTATCGAATTACTATTAGTTTATGAAGTAAAAAGAGTATGATTTTAATATTAAAATCAAGCAAATCATTTTTATTTGTGTATTATGAGTTCAATAGATGGTTATTACTTTGCAATATTCACTAAGAATACATAATTTTTTACATACTATATACTATTATAACAAAATCTATACTAATATTATAAAGAGGAAAAATTTGTATGTATTGAAATAACTCAAAAAGTACTGGGTTGATTTAAAAACAATCATCATCTTTCGTTCGACGCTACAGGTTTTTGTCCTCCAAATAACTCTATCATACGTCATCTCAGTCATCACTCCCTTTTTGATCATGTCACCTTTTACACAATCCATCCATCTCTTTCTACGTCTACCTCTACCGATGTACCCTTCCACACTCATAACTAACATTCTCCTTGTAACATGCCATTCATCCCTCTTTATGACATGAGGAGAGATAAATCGCAAATAAACATAAATAAATATAATTAAATGAATGATTTAAAAACAATCTTTCACCAATAAAAACTATCGCTCAATAGCATAGGCTACACTTTAAAGTATTTTTTTTTTATTTTACATGGACAAAGTCTCGAACAATGACTAGTATATTATTTACTTTATACTTACAGCATTCAGAACGAAAAACTCCAATCCAGACCATAAGCAATCTAATTTCTTTAATTCTTCAATATCAGTGATTTCACAGTATTTCAATAATGTCAAAGAATACGCGCCAATAGCGTTCAATGTTGCCACACCACGGTCAGTTACCAAACTATCATCAATGTTGCCATCTTCAACATCGATTTTAGTAAAATCGATGTTCATAAATGATTCCAACATAGTTTGATGCAATTTCTCTTGTAAATTCGCTAAAATAGTCCTAAAAGCACTTGACGTTATGGCTCTTTTTTCTTTAGCGATAATTGGTAGGATGATGCATTGTATTTGGAACACCGTATCACTAAAATATTCTATACTTTTTGCATTTTTTGAATGTTGTTTCGATAGTAATATTTCTACTAGTTCTTTTAATATTTCACTATTTATTTTTACTTTCTTCACTGTCAGTTCTAATATAAATTTAATGATAATCATATTGTTTGATGTTTTCGAAGATAATTTTAGTAAATTCAGCATAGTACTGTCTTGGAACGAAAATATAAAATCCACGGGAAATATTTTGTATAAATCAGGATATTTTGGACTTAATTCGTAAGTTGATAGAAGTATATTATCAATACTTCGACGTATTTTTTTCGTTTGGCAACATTTCTTGACAGCTAGCAACACAAAAATGGCTGTCAATCTGATATTCTCTTCTAAATTGTAAATAGGCAAATCTTTTAATAAATCGATATGTTTTATTATATTTTCCTCATAATTTTCATTTAATGCAAGTTCATTGAAATAATCTTTTACATTTAAATTTTGTAAAAATGATTCAATTTCAAAGTTACTTTTATTCATAGCTTTCGTAAGAATGTTGCTGTTTTCAAAACATCTCATGATACATTTAGTTGTTTCTAATACGAGTGCATTTAGTAATATCCTATTTTTACTTATGGCAACATTTTGGAACATATCACAATTGTTGCCATTAATATACAACTTCACCAATAATTTTGCGAGTTGTTTTGCTTGATTTGGATCTAAATTGTTGAATAATTCTCTTGTAATATATGTGTCTGTTGTTATTACTTTAGAATATTCAGATAATTGATTTATTATATGCGTTTTAGTTATTGCTTCCATTTCATTATGGACTTTATCCGAATTTTTCAGTTCTAATACTTGTGTAAACATTAATTTTACAAGAAGAAGATTATCCTGAAAATTAACAAGTTAAAAGTAAATCTTAGTACTAAAATAATAAAACACACTTTGTTTTTTTATATACAAATAGGTGGCAAACGAGCAAGCGGCCACCTAAATCCACCAAAAAGGCGAATCGACCGCTGCCCATAAACATCCGCAATTGCAGATGCGTTGCCTACCCTAAATCGACGAAGGAGGAGAAGCACAAAAAAAGGATCTTTCTCCATCCTATGCGTCTCCTCCACCGTCAAATCCACTTTTCCATCCATCCGTCTCTTAAAGAAAAAGGTGAGACGGGAAAGGGACTAAAATTGGGCCTCCGACACCACACTCATCAGACTATACGCGGAATTGCTTCCACTTCACGCCTGTCTTCTGTGTGGTCGTGGTATTGGTGGGGGCGAGCCGACCCATTCGTGCGAAGATGTTAAAGCGGGCACTACCACTGTTGTTTAAGAAGATGTATGCAGTTTTAGTATATTTTATAATAAAAAGCCCTATACTTACACATGCTTTAGGCTTTTCACGCTATTAAAATTATAGGATGAGTATTGAAAAAAAACGCCTTTCAAGAAAGGGACATAAACTACAAGTCAATATAAAAACATGTCAAATAAAAAAACCTGTTTTCTTACCCATGTTATAACAGCCTCCTCCTCTTGTACCATTTGGGATAATGCCACCCATTGATCTGCATTCAAACATGGCAACACAATACTGCAGTCAAATATCTCTGTTGATTCATTTGTTGTCTCTTTCATTTTAATGTTGCCATATTTCAAATTTAAAAGTTTCAACTGGCAATAACTCAAGCAAAGTTTTAGAAAAGATATCAGTAATGGTGGATTCTGAAATTAATTTTATTTTATTTTAATTAAAGTAGAAAATGACGTTGTAATTATATTTGTTTAAATATCATGTTTACTTACATAATTCAATTTTAATAAGCATTCACCAAATTTTTTTAAACACTCGTTACCGAAATTTTCGAAAGTCGACCAGAATTCTTCGGCGATTTGTTGCGGCACTGTATGGTCCGCCATTTTACTAAACCGAAAGAAAGACGACAAGATGGCCGACAGGACTTCTGTCAATACGATTATTGATGGACCTGGAATTTATACAATAGATATATGAGCCACAAATAAAGAAATTAGTTTATTTATCTTCGAAATATTTTGAATGCAAAATATAAAAAAAAAATCCTTTGCAGTTACCAAATATTCGATTGATATCTTTTACTCGTGATTACGTCCTCACGAAATAAAATAATACAGTTATAAATTTAACCTATGTTATTTATTGAGTAGTTTTAGAATTCTTCCTTTACCAAAATACAAATATTCCGCCTTCATATAGCATAGATTTAAAATTAAATTAACACTTACTGACAAATCCTTCTTCCAACATCATTAAGCAATTTTCTTCCAAATCCTTTTGCAGAGAAGTAAGTAATCCATTATTTTGTCTAAACATCAATTCCGACGTCCATTTTCCATACATTTCGATACATTCTTGAGGTAAAATGTCATCACCAGTTATGATTTTATTTTTAATCTTTTCTTCCTCCATGTTATCTTTTAATTTCTGCCTCAATTCAAATTGTTCTACATTCAAAGATTCTAATTTTAATTTTATGTTCGGTAATAGCTTTTCAACAAACACAGTACCACGGCTTAATTTAAATAATGTTTCCATCAAACAATTGAACATTTCAATATAAGCTTCTTTTACATTTGAACTCTTTTTACCAGTCATTATCGGTGGCAGAATAACATCGAGCTTTTGTTCAATTATCGACGGATCTAATTTTATTGCCGTTTTTATAATCTGTAAACTGGTTTTATCTGTTTTGTGTTCCAATTTCAAACAACCGAGCATACTGGCTTGTAAGAATGACATGAAATTCTTTTTAATTTCGACTTTATTTCTTTCACCGATAGTATCAGTTAATTTGATTGAAATATCAACTTCATTTTCTAATAACGTAGTCAACATTTTCAAAAATATACTCCTTTTTATTTTATCATCGTTTTCTTTGAATGTTATCGAAGGTATTATCATTTCTGGGTTTAAATAGCTTTGTCGTATATTTAAAGAACTAACCGCCATTATGTAAAATGCAAATAATATTTGCCCTTCATTACGGTAAGAAGTGACAAATGTATCAACAAAATCTACTAAGAATTTTTGATCTTTACCCGTCCTTCCTTTAGGGAACATGAAAAAAGTACTCAATATTTTAATGACCGATTGTACATTTTCACTTTTATCGGCAATAAAATTATCAATATTATCATTTTTAATTATATGCTGAAGAAAATTGACAAAGAAAGGTTTTCTCGTAATCGGGAATAAGATATTTTGACAAACATTTAGCACTGCATTACGATGTTCTGAATCTAAATAGCTAAATATTGTTTCTAAATTTTCTCCATCCAAGAATTTTATAACAAACTTTAGTTTTTTCTTACATTCCTTATAGTACTTAATTAAGTTTAAAAATAACTTGTGAATTAAAGCATTTTTTCCATCATTACGTAAGTTTTGAAGTAATGTGATTATTATGAATAAATAATCATCAATTTGATTTTGTAGTGTTGCCGATATTTTGTCATTCTCTAAGAAATTTATAATAAAATGTATGTCTTCGTTGTTTAATGGATTGCTATGAAGATAGTGTGATACCACCTGTAAATATAGATATTTTTATAACAAAATGTACATTCATAAGACATGGTCTTCCATAGTCTCATGGAACATTTTTTGAGACTAGCTTTCGATCGCGACTTCGTCCCTTTGAAATTACAAAATGAATAATGCAAAACATAGCCTTTGTAACTCACTGATAATGTAGATTTTAATGGTAATTTTTTTTAAATTGGTGCTGTAGTTTTCGAGTTATTTCAATAAATGCAAAAATACAAATCTTTCCTGAGCTCTCAATATTTCTTAAGACAAACCTGTTTTTATGCATATGTTATTTGTAAAAACCACAAGAGCTTAAATTTATACATCAATTTATAAGTATTTTAACAATGTATACCTATATTATAAAGAGGATTTGTAATTTGTATGTATTTATATAACTCAAAAACTACAGGGGCGATAAAAAAAATCTTCTTCAATTAAAAAGTATGTTATCGGTGATTAACATAGGTTATTGTTTTTTTTAATTTCACGCCGCAAAGTCGCGAGCAACAGCTAGTCATATATAATTTTAGATAACATATTTTTAAATCTATTTCTTCTGGGGTTAGCTGTCATAAACTTTTACAAGTGTGTATGTGTACATAAAAAAAACATAGACTAAAACAACTTACCTTGATTAATCTACATTTTAGATCATTTGTTAATTCATCAGCAAATTGCAACCAGCTTATAACATGTCTGATATCTTTACTGGCAAGACCATTTCTTTCCGTGATGCTCTCTAACCATTCTGCAACAATTCTTTCCTTCGGTGCAGCAGGGAAATGATCTGAATGTATCACATTTTTTGCCAAGCGTAACCTTTTGGGTAATGGAGTGTTGTCATCGTCTAATCTACGCTTCAGTTCTGTAAAACGTAATTGTAAATATGAATATAATTGTTTTAATTCTTGTTTGTACAACATTAATTTTACCTTAACTTTGTATAAAGGATATTAAGAGTTAAATACAATCGGAAATGTTTATTTTTTGTATTAGTTTTCACTCAAAAGTATACTTTACAACCTTATTTTAATTGCATTAAAACATGCTTTGAAAAAATTACATAATGTTTAATACATGATGTAGTATTACAAACTAGCAGAATACTTACCATACCATGCCATAAGAAATGTTTAAGGTTTTTTAAACAGTGTTAATAAGTTTAAATTAAAAAGTAAGGTTATAAAATGTGAAACTGGTTTTGATTGTTGTGACATTTTTTGTGAATTACTATTTACTTACCATTTAGAGGATTTGATGACATAGTTGTACTTAATAGTTTTTCAACTATTTTAATACGCCAATAACATAAAAAACATTTATTTAACACATGTCTTGAACAGTTGTTTACTTCCAATTGTCACTGTCTCCTGTCACTATCAAATGTCAAACGAAGTTGTTTTCGATTAGAAATAGATGCAATTAAAATAAATATTTCATAAATGATACATATTAAAAAAAACGAATTCTGTATTTTTACTTTTGCCATATTTAAAAAGGATAATTGTAAGCCCAAACGAAATATTTATTCTAGCTATAGACTATTGAGGTTCACACTTGGACAGTCGAGCAGGCTAAGCATGGATTGTATGGATTGACTGGCGCCAGTTAGTGTTCACACTAACGAGTTGAATGCCAGTACAGTTATAGAGTGCTTCAGACCAGCTGTACTGATCAAGTGTGAACCAGGCATGATGTTTACCCGTTTTAAAACAATTCACGAAATCATGTATGTCAAGATTATCATTTGTTATTCATATATTAAATTTACGTAAACAAAATAAAACTTAACTTACGTAGCAGTGGCTTTAGCTTTAAGTAATGATAAGTCGTTCACTTTTTTAATTAAGGCAAAAGTCCAGTTAATAAAGAGAATAAATTTTGATTACTTTATATTATGCACTCAAATGCACATTGATGCCACTTCAAGTCTAGATTAGCCAATGGACATAGTAGAATAGTGTAAAAATTCATAGCTGAATCTGTGTGATTCCTTTTGTCTTATGAATAACGACCTCACTTCTTTTATTATCTACCCCTTGATAGACGTATTCTATCGTCATATTATAAACGTTAAACTAAATGAAAATAAAATACAGACAAATGTGAGATATCTTTTATAGTTAATATGAATCTTGGCTTTATATTCGTTCTACTAACCTCTATTCGCAAGAAATCAATAGTTCTATGTAATATTGTCGTTCATAACTTTACGAAATTAATGAATTGAAAATAAATTCGATATCAGTAAGTTAAAATCTAAAAATAACGATTGAATGACTCGAGTATGTTCATTCATAAAAAATGTCAGCCATTTTGTGTTGGTTATAAAATGAATCCGTCACGGTCACACATCCCCGCCACTAAATGGGCCAAGGGAAGACGACGCGCATGCTCCGATGGATTGATTTTTGTCTATATGACGTCACAAAATGTCCGCTATTCCGCCAACTCGCTCGGTATAAAATCTTCAAAAACATTCCTCACCACCAGTTTGTAGCAAAAGTCTAGCAGATGTGCGGACCCGTCTATAACTTCTGATATTTTTTCTAATTACAATACAGATTATATTTAAATTGTAAACTTCAATGGTATAAAACCGAAGCAACGTGAAATCGTCCAGTGATACGGTTTCTAAGGCAATCAAAATGGTTATTCGTATTGTAGCTAGGAAAAATATATTCGCGCTTTTTGACACCACTCTAACCATGTTGGCGAAAATGCTGTGTTTATGTGAGTACTATCTACTACTACTTCCTTTTCACCGTTTTACTTAATAATTATTTTTCACAATTAAAAGCCATCACAACGTTTTATTACTTTTTCATAATTTTCAACCTTGTGCTCGCGGGGTTGTATTGGCCGAAATTAAAAAAAAACAATCTACGAGGAATTAAATAAAATCTAGGCGTTACCGTTTTTAAATTAATTTCAATCTTCTATTGTTTAATTTACCGGAATGAAATTATTTAGCAATATTAATTACACTACTGTCTGTTTTTTTTTTCATCTCTATTTTTTTTAATTTGCTTCTAATTTCAGGGTTTGCGATAAATAGATGATATTAACCTTGTTGTAAAAGTTTTTTTTTTATTATGTTTAAGAGATGAAACCAAAGTTAACGCTGCGTATCTCTGAACGGATCTTCTAACGTAATACAGATTTTATCTGCAAGATGTCCTTAGTTCGATAAAACCGAGAACAATGTACTTAATCAAAATTAACCTTACTAATATTATAAATGCAAACGTTTAGATACATGGATGTTTGTTAGAGTTTGTAGCCTAAACGGCTAAACGGATCTTAATGAAATTTCGCATAGATGTAGAGGATAGTCTGGAAGAACACATAGGCTACTCACTTTTGTATTTTTTTAATTCCACGCGTACGGAGTTGCGGGCGAAACCTAGTTGTTATACACTTTTAAATTAATGAAAATAATATATTAGCAAAGGGAATTTAGGGTCGATTACTTTTTTTAATAACTTACATTAATAATAATAAAAGAATGCCAATTTAAATAACATATACTTAGTTTTTTTTTATTACTTCACGTAATTAGTGTAGAATAAACTATACATTCGTCATAGCTTTTATTAAATGCTAAAAAGTATTAACACTATCCTATTAATGAATTATTAATTTTGGACAAAAATGGGAACTGAAAAGTAAATAAAAATTAATTTAATCAACAACTACCCACGTTAGTATGTTATCATGCTGTGTTGGACGGTTACTTTTCTCCGTCCGGGGCTCTGGAGGTGTGGGGCTATTGAAACGCTTTCTTCGTCTAGTTAATCATCATTATATTTATAATATCAAAAACCATATTTCATACAAAGTCTATTCTATAAGTCCTACTATGTTTCTTGGTACGTGTCGAGAAGTCAATGTATCAAACATCAAATATACAATTCTTTATAATTTAAAATATACTATTCTAATATTAAAAACCATCCTCTGTGTGTACAGTATTGCCTGCCAGTATACAAACATATAAAAACTCCAACTTGCTGTTTTATCCCCAGACGTTTCCTGTGCAAAATGATAATAATTTAATAACAAATCATAATAAAATAACAAAGCTGATAATAAAGTCGAACTATTGAATTCCGTACTTAGTACATGACTACTGTACCATGCACCACACTTAATCCCAAGTGATCACTAAGCCCTTAAGCAACTTACTAGTAAGGTCTACACTAAGGGACTGCCAAGAAATCCTACTTGACGTTTTTAATAAAAATACGTAGAACTTCAAAATAAAATTGCCATTATATTATCAAACTAACATTAAAAATGTAATGTAAAATCTTATTTCTATTGTCCGCAACTTTTAACGTTGAAATTTTCTTTACAATGATGGTACTACTGTAAGAATCTTTTCAGCCAGTGCCTTTTTCTTACTACAATAACGGTAGTTGTCTTTCCAGCCAGTCAGTTGGCATAACATAAATTCTCTTTTGTTTTTAATTTAAATAATGTAGAAAGTGCTACGGCGTAGCAATGAGGCCGAGGTGAGGCGGCAACTTATAATAGCCACTGTTTATTTTTATTGCAGATCGTACTTGAAAAACATACTTTATTACGTTACTAGCTTTCGCCCGCGACTCCGTCCATGTGGAATTAAAAAAAAAACAAAAGTGAGTAGGCTATGTGTTTTTCCATAGTATCCTTTACGTCTATGCCAAATTTAATCGAGATCCATTCAGCCATTTAGGCTACAAACTCACAAACATCCATCCATCCATCTAAACTTTCGCAATTATAATATTAGTAAGTTAGTGAATACATCGTTAAAATTAAAAAAAAATATAATTTTTTACGCTTCTTATCACCTTGTCATTATGTATGCAAATAAATAAAAAAGAGGAAACTCTTCTTCTATGCGGCATTATAAAGATACTTACTAAATAGGCTATAGAGTTATAAAACTTTAGATCTACTTGATAAAAATAATCTATCCATCCAAACTTTCGTATTTACAACATTACCAAAAACAACAGATAGTTAATACAATACTAGGAAAGCGAATATGCTATTAGAATAATACGCAAAGCATAAGACAGGACAATACAGATCCTATTTATAGGTCTACAAATATAATAGTAGTTACGCCTTAATCACTTTTACGGTTTAATGTTTTTTTTAAATGTCTTGTCACTTGTTCTATCCAATAAAATTCTAGAACGTTCTCAACAAATATTGTTTCATTGAAAAACTCTCTTTCCTCTTTATTCAAACTTTAAAAGTAATATAAAAATAGCTTCGTACAATGGATAAAGAGTTTTAACATTATCGTATAAAGTTGAGAACTTTCACGTCCATTCAGCGTGGCCTCGCGTTCAAACATGAAGGCTCGAGTACGTTTTCAGAATTTGTTACTTCCGAAAACTTCAATTCTCAAGTGTACGAATGCTTAGAAATTGCCGGATTTTTCAAATTTAATTTCGAGTGGAACAATAGAAAATGTTGCATATTTTTTTCTGTGGTATTGTTTTATTCGGTATTGAATTTCCGAACGTTGCTAAAATGTCAAACGTCAATTGGAATATGAAATTTGTGATTTTTTAATAAGTTTAAATGTTAACGGTTTTGATCACAGAGTACTTTGTAATATACTGGTTTTGATTACATTTATCTCAACTGTAATAATCTTTACTTCAAAATCATATTTAATTTTATACAAATTTATTGTTTATGGATGTGATGAAATTTAAAAAAAAAACTTTAATTTATAATACCATAAAGTTAGTTTCGCTTGTTTTAAATTCCAATCAGAAAAGTTACTTAATACACCGAGTCAGATATTACTTCTTTATTGAAAAGCGGGCGTTTTGCATCATTCGTTTACAATATGGCGGCTGCGATATCGTGGAATTGCCTCCAGGCGGGAACTGATTACATTCATTGGCGCGTGAATAAAAAGAAATAACGCATTTGAAAACTTTTTAGTTTTGTGTATTTTTAATTTGAATATTCGTTAAACAAGTATATTTATTATTCTCATACCTCTGTAAAATATAGTTTTATATACTAGCTAGTAAATAAATCAATGTTTTTCTACTAAGAAAAAGTTCTAAGGAAAAATGAAGATTTGTAAATAATTTTGCAGATACAAATCTAATTTTGGTAAGTACTAAATGTAAATTACTCAATTTATACGATGAAATAAGTTAAACTTTGATAATCTGTCGTTTTAATAGTATTTCCGTATTACATTTGTTTCGACCTCCATTAGTAGACGAAGGCGTGTCCCGAAGACATGAAAGCGAGGCGATAATATGATCATCGCGTGGTTATGTTCAATGTTGTTCCATTTCAATGAAATTCTTACGCTTGTAATGATAGAAAGACAAAAAAAAAAGAAATGTGTTGCACTGTGACATAATATCGACCATTTTCTAGACATCAAAAAGAACCTCCTTTCTTTTGTTTTTTTTGTGTCTTAAAACAAGAGGACGCTTTTAAGCAGTTACTTTTTAAATGTTTTGTTTTTGTTTTAAAAATAAATAATTAAAACCTCCACAATGGAGTATTAGCGACGATTATAATATTATATTATCTGTGGCGAGTTATGCTAGGTATATCTGTGATTTGCAGGGCATTTTAAATTATCGTAATATAATGTTTCTGATAAAATAATTATTTTAGTAGACGTCTCAAACAAATGAACATTTCCTAATGTTCAGATGTTTTTTTCATCCATATTTTCATATATAAAACCGTAAGCCAATTCCAGCCGATGTTTCGCAACCACATTCATATGCCGGGTAGCGAAATATGAATTCCCAGCACGGAAATAACTTGGATATAACAGTGTTGGAATTTAGATAAAGCTTGCATCCAATTTACTTTGACCTCTTTTATTTTAAACTCAAAATAGCGTTCTTCGTCATACCAATATTTTGGTAACTATTTAAACGTGACACGAAACTAAGTGCATTATTTTATTTAATCCTCTTTTTTTAAAAAAAAAAAACTAAGCTCTATAATAACCTTTGAATTGTAGATCAAGTTGAAAATAATAATTTATACTGTTAAGAAGAACTCTAGTACTGAGCTGTACGATTGGCGCAACCGCAACATTAGATTATCGGTATAGAAGTCACGTCCCTATCTGACAGCTGTCAAATGTCAAAAGACTTATTGCAATAGCGCGCTTTTCTGGCGGAAGCAGTTCTCTAGTTGCTGAAGACGTACGCTAGTAACAATTGTATTAATTATTTGAAAATACTAATAATAGTTATAAAGAGGAAAGATTTCATTGTTGTTCGCATTGAATAGGCTCCGATAGTAGAGAACCGATTTCTTTAAATTCTTTCACCATTAGAAAGCTACATTTACACTGAGGAGCATATGCTATATTTGACATGAATGAAAAAAAAATAGATGTATATTCCTTGCCACACAGGCGAAGCTGCGGCGGATCGCTTCTAACGAATGAAATAAGTGAGCATTCACTAAATAACATTTCTTTATCCAGGGTACGAAGAAAGTCTGGAAATTGTTATGTAAGCTCGATGAAAACTAAATTGAACACAAAATGCACTTTACTGTACTAAAAATAAAATTCAAATTGGACCTTTGACCTTGAGTGACGTCACAGGAAGTTGTCTGAAAGCAAATTGACGTGGGCATCTCATTGCATATGAATAGGGTGACCTTTCTTTTGATCTTTGTTGGGACATTTCCCGAGAACATATTTACATATATTTCTCCAAGGTTTTCAAGGCTTTAGGGTCTGTCAAGCGTGAATATAAAAATGTAAATATTAGTATGAAGTATGATTTCATATCACTTAAATTTTATAATGTAGTCTACTAGATGTATTCTATACGTATAAACGAAAACGTATGGTTACTTTGACCATATTGTTATGCGGATGGTGTTAGCGATGTTTTACTCTCCCTACGCAACGCCGAACTGTGGAAACTTCTAGATAAATTATATTACTTGCGCTCTCGGGCCTTTTAGTGGGTAATAAAACAAATTGTTTGAGGTTAGAAAACAAAAGCATTGCGTTAAAGAGTTTTTTCGAAGGGTGAAGAATAAAACCTACGCATAGAAAACACGATAATACAAACTTCGTAATATCTCTACATTACAAAGCAAATTCACTAAACTTCAAAGCATTACTAAGATCTATTTACATCATATGTTGAAGCAACTTACAATAGATTAGCTGTTGCCTACGATTTCGTCCGCGTGAAATTATAGAGTACTAGCTTTTCGCGTGGGGCTTCATCCGCATGAAATTATGAAAATTTTAGTTTATTGTTTTATTTTATTGTCAAATTATGACATGATGACAAAGCATGGCAGTCTTGCTTCCTTGATGTTGGCAGCAACTTATGGTCTCTCTCCCACATTACGTTTTTTATCCAAAATATTTACCCCTAAGTTTAATGGCGATAAAATATATAGCCTAAAGCGTGGCGCAAGTGTAGGGCCCTTTTATTCAAAAATATCCTGTTATTGCTGACATCTTAGGCAACAAAGAAGTGTGCGTTTACGCTTTATTATAATTGTATAGATTAAAAAATACAGCCTATATTACTTACTAATAACGTACCTTTTTATGGTGAAAATTTTTTTGAAGTCGCCCCAGTAGTTTTTTAGTTATTTCAGTATATACAACTCTTTCCTTTTTATAATATCAGTGAAATGAAATAAATTTTTATTTCTTATACTATTTAAAATAACGAAGATTTATGAACTTAACTAGAAAATCATTAAGCTTTACGCGTACGGCTAAAGTACTTGGGATAGCTATTTACGGTGGCTCAACAAATTCTACGAAACTCAACGAGCATAAAATTACTGTAATTTGTCTTGTTATTTTTTTTTGTCATGACATCGTAATATTTGCGTGGTCGTTAAAGTAAAATTAGCATGATATGACGTCATTAATCTGAGCTGAGGGGATGCGAAAGGGCAAACATGTAGGCCGTGGGCGGAATACCTAACATCAACCTGCAATAGTTCATCAAAGGGATCTTAGATGTTTCATGTTCACTGCTTCGTCTTTTATGCTACACTGGTACTTTGCACTGAAAGTTGATTAATGCACACACCTTTGACTAAACTGTCGCACAACTGTTTAGTCTCGCTCCTATTCCTATGAGCTTATATAGAGGCTGCGAAATAATCGACAATTGCACAACAGTGCGATAGTTTAAACGAAGGTGTGCAAATCTCGTCGATATTTTTGGCTTCGAAGGGATTTGTAAATCTTACTTCTTACAAATATTATAAATGCGAAAGTTTAGATGGATGGATGGATGTTTGTTAGCGTTTGTAGCCTAAACGGCTGAACGGATCTCAATGAAATTTGGCACATTTTTAGAGCATAGTCTGGAAGAACACATAGGCTACTTTTTATCCCGGGAATAGTTACGGTTCCCGTGGGATTCATTAATTTAGTTTTTTAATGTTTACTCGATCATTCTGCAACGGTTCAACATATCTTATTGAAATTTGGCACAAAACAAAGTCTGGAGTACACATTTCATAAGCTCATCCCCAAGAAATGTCCGGTGC